CAACCATGCCTTTGCCTTAGCCTTAGCCTTTTGGGGTGGACATGCTCTTATAAGCATAAGTATTTCATGGAGAAGTAGTCCAAAATAATTATATTTTATAGACGCAGAAGTGATTGTTTATAATAAAATGGTTGTACATTTGTTTATAAAAAAGGATTTCGAGTTCTTCTTTGTAAATTACTATTGGATTTACGTCACTAATTAGTGAACACGCTACAACTATTATTCATCTATACAAAAAGCCGCAAATAGTATTTTTCTCTAACCTTGCAGTCTTAAAATTCGAGAATCAATGGTATTATTCATAGTTTAACATTTGTTGATGGATTTTATTTTAGAAAAATTAGGTATTAGACATAATTAACTTTACTAATTAGTATTTGAGACATTGGGCATTTTTGTTTGGGTTTTAATACCTAGAAAAGAATTGTTATTTTGGATTAAGCCAAAGAGGAGGCCCAAATTCATTGGGCCTGTCAAATTTATAAAGGTAAAATACATTTGTACCCTTTTTGTTTAAAACCCTTCCAAAATCAGATCTCACCCTTTCTTTCTCTCTCTTGGACAGACGCGACACAACGACTGCCTCAGATCATGGCTTCTCGGACCACCTGCGATGACGACTGGTTACAAGTAGGGTACAGTCTATGCTGTTATGGTTTCTAACTTTCATATGGTTAGACTTGAGCTATTTTCTACAGGTTATATATTTGATTTCTTTCAATTTAATAGACTGGTAAAGTTGCTTGAGGATATCATGGATGACATCAGAATACTGATATTCAAGGATACTAAGAAAGGATGTGATCAGATCACTCGACAGCTCTGCATGAATGGTTGGCCGGCTCTCTCAATTCATGGAGACAAAAGTCAAGTAGAAAGGGATTGGGTCCTCTCTAAGTTTAAAGCTAATGACTGCAACAGATGTTGCTGCTCATGGTCTAGGTATGGAAATAATTTCTTTTGAGTTTGTCAAAAGACTTGAAAGGAATTCTTGTTTTGTGTAAACATAGGAAAATATGAAACCCCCACCCTGGACACCATTTCATTTTGCTTTTTCCTATGTTTTATCTTTTATGGTTTTATGATATTTTATTTTATTTGCACTTCTTTGTTATTTATTAATTTTTTATTTATCTATTGAAAGATGCTAGTCTTCCCAACTAACAATTTCTATTTGTTTCCCATCTGGGATGAGACCCACTCCACGAAGAAGGTTACTATTTTTTGATTAATAAGGCTATTTGAAGCAGTCAATTGATACTTAGTTCAGCTTTTTCTTGTGTGTGTGTGTAGGATGCTTGGGTATTTCAAGGAGATCGACTCTCCTCCACCTGTGAGAGCCTCTTTCTCTTTCATTCTCTTTTAATGCATTTGCATGTATTTTGAATTGGGGGTTTGAAAATATTGTTAATCCTTACGATTTTATAGGTTTTTCTTTTTCTTTTTTGTTTGTTTGTTTGAAAAGATGGCCTGGTGTTGTTGGATCAATTTTGCTGTATAATTGCCTTTTTTTTTCTTTTTGATACAAGTGATTATGTTTTTGGTCAATTTTGTGAAAATCAAAATACTTGAGAAAAAAGAAGCTGCTTTGAAGAATCAAATTCAATTTCATCTAGCTACTTTGGAAATGGTTGATGCCATCACTGTGATATAATATCTTGCAATACCATTTAAGCTTTAGTTCAGTGAAATTTTACACAGGTTCTACATTGTAGTTTTGCACAAACTACATTGCAGTTTTGGTAATTACAATTGAATTTTTGCTCTTTCCTTGGCCTTCAACCTCACCAATTTGAAGAGTAGAGGCTACCTAGATGAGGAATTGGGTGGGCAAGAGAAGAGAGAACTACCCAAGAGAATGAAACTTAAAATTGGACTTTTTGAAACTGGAAATTGCATTGCAGTTTTCATTTAATTACAATTTGATTTTTGTTCTTTCCTTGGCCTTCAACCTCACCAATTTGAAGAGTAGAGGCTACCTAGATGAGGAATTGGGTGGGCAAGAGAAGAGAGAACTACCCAGGAGCAAGGGAATTCAAAATTGGTCTTTTGAAAATTGGAAATTGCATTGCAGTTTTCATTTAATTACAATTTGATTTTTGTTCTTTGCTTGGCATTCAACCTCACCAATTTGAAGAGTAGAGGCTACCTAGATGAGGAATTGGGTGGGTAAGAGAAGAGTAAAACTATCCAAGAGCAAGGGAACTCAAAATTGGACTTTTGAAAACTGGAAACTACAATGCAGTTTTGGATTGCAAGTGACGATAAAACAAACATGGACATCTGCTCTATTCGGAGGGTGATGACTCAGTCTAATGGGAATCTCTCTGATGATTTTCAACATTTTTGCACTGCACTGGATTTTTGTGTTCTTGTGTAATTGTTTGTTTATGTTGGTTTTTTTCTTTTAAAATCATAAATTTGAGTTGTGCTGGTAGGATTGTTGGTGGTAATTTGTTTTGATTGCAATGCAGAAAACAGAAACTGCATTGCAGTTTCCATTTAATTACATTTGGCTAAATTATTTTATCATTGGATATTGGTATGATTTTTGAAGTTAATGGAAATTATACAATTGTCATCAATGAATATGTCTTTTTGACTTTGTTTAGTTGCTTGTTTTCATGATGGCTTTGCCTTTTGGTTTGTTTTTTTTGTTAGTGTGGTTGCAACTTGATTAGAAATTGCAACGCAGAAAATGGAAGGAACTTTTGTTACCTTGATATGTTTCCATTGCACGTTCCAATGTCTTTTCAATGAGCATGCTTAGTGTTACTAGTAATCCAGCTGGGCAGGCAAGTGACAAAGAACGTAGCTATAATTCTTTTTTATTAAATCAATTTGATACAGCTCTAGTACAAGGATTGCCACTTGCCCTTTGCTTGTTTCAAATATATTTTCTCCTTTTATTTATGACATGTACTCATCACTCAAGTTTGGAGGTTGACGCATCTTATTCTATGATCGTTGTTCTTTGTACATAATTTGGTCTTATTTTATATAGCACAAACGTCGTTTTATATAGCACATAATTAGGTCAGGCAATGATCTAATTTAGCTGCAACTAAAGCTCACTTACTATGCATTTGTCTTGATTTGGAAATGGTTGATGCCATCACTGTCATATAATATCTTGCAATACCATTTAAGCTTCAGTTCAGTGAAATTTTACACAGGTTCTGCATTGTAGTTTTGCACAAACTACATTGCAGTTTCAGAAACTGCATTGCAGTTTTGGTAATTACAATTAGATTTTTGTTCTTTCCTTGGCCTTCGACCTCACCAATTTAAAGAGTAGAGGCTACCCATATAATGGGCAAGAGGAGTAGAACTACCCAAGAGCAAGAGAACTCAAAATTGGACTTTTGGAAACTGCATTGCAGTTTTCATTTAATTACAATTGGATTTTTGCTCTTTCCTTGGCCTTCAACCTCACCAATTTGAAGAGTAGAGGCTACCCAGATGAGGAAGTGGGTGGGTAAGAGAAAAGTAGAACTACCCAAGAGCAAGGGAACTCAAAATTGGTCTTTTGGAAATTGGAAACTGCATTGCAGTTTTCATTTAATTAAAATTTGATTTTTGTTCTTTCCTTAGCCTTCAACCTCACCAATTTGAAGAGTAGAGGCAACCCAGATGAGGAATTGGGTGGGCAAGAGAAGAGTAGAACTACCCAAGAGCAAAGGAACTGAAAATTGGACTTTTGGAAACCGGAAACTGCATTGCAGTTTTCATTTAATTACAATTATTTTTGTAGATGTTTTTGTTTTTGTTTTTGTTTTTTTTAAATATAATTGATATCTACATTGTATTTTTGTTGCAATTTTTGTTTTTATTTGCAGTTTTTGTGTGAACAAGTGTTGAAATGATTTTTTTTTTTATTTTTAAAAACCGTTGATTGTTTATATAAATACTGTATAACTGAATAAATATTACAAAATCAAGTTTGGTGTAGTGGTTTGTGAGTGAGCCTTCCTCATTTGAGGGTCAAGGTTCAAGTCCATTCAATGACACAAAATCTTTTTTTTTTATTTAAAGGTAAATAAAGGGCAACAGAGTTGGTCCCTTGTAGACGGTGGCAGGCCGATGACGGACGGCGGTGGTGGCAGGTGGCCGGCGGTGGAATTCCAGCGGTGGTGGCCGGCAGCAGAATTCCGGTGGTGTTGGCCGGCGATAGAATTCCGGTGGTGGCCGGGGGCGGGATTCCGGCAGTGGTAGTTAGCTAGATATGGACATGTGGCATAATATGCTTACCTTAGAAGGAGTGGCATTGTGTGTAATTTTGATATTTTTTAGTGATTTTTTTGTAAAATTAGGTGCCACATTTGGTCTTTGGCCTTATGCTAATTAGATGAAAGAGTAATGCTACACTTACCACATTTTTATCCCATATTTCTATACCACATGATGTGGCATGTCTATATTATATGCCACATCAATTAAATCAATAAAGTGTATTTTAATTAAGACAATTAGAAAAACAAATACTAGAATAAATCATAAAAGGAAAAAAATATTAAATAATTTTAATTGATGTGGCTGTCCACCTCAGCTACCACATAAGATGGTAACTGCCACATAAGATGGTATAGAGATGTGGTATACAAATGTAATAAGAGTAGCATTATTCTTAGATGAAATTGTATTATTATCTTCCAAATTAGTAAACTATATTGTGTTTTAAAACTAAAGCTCCCTTTTATTCACCACCATTGAATTTTATTTGGAACGTTAGATATCGAGATGAAAAGTATTTTGAATTTGGACCTTTGGATAACAATAGTCAAATGTTATCCGGGGCCCAAAAAGAAAAAAAAAAGAAAAAAAAAAAAGAAAGAAAGCAAATTTTAGGTTTCAATCTCTGGGTTGGAGATAGCCTAAAAAAAGCCCAACTTAAAATTGGACCGGGTTGTCCAAATCTTTGAGAAGCTGACCTAAATAAGAATAAGAATATATAAAAAAGAGTTGCCAAAAAAGGAAAAAAGCCCATAAACAACCATACGAATTATTATCCCCAACCTGCAGCAAACAAAGAAGAGAGAAATCACAGCATTCTCCCACTCCCAGTAGAAAACTATAATTTGCGAAATATAATTTCCCAGAAGGCACCCTCTCAATCAAAACACTCTCTCTTCTCTCTCAAAATTCCATTTTCTCCCCGGAAATTCGCTCCCGGGGGGTTTTTTCCCATGAAACCCTATAACCCAATAACCTAGGAATTCTTTTCCATCACTTTCCCGGGAAAATCCCCTATCTTTCCGTACACAGTTATCGCCCAGTTCCGGAGGAGGGAGGGATTTGATTCGGTTGCGGATATTTATAAACCCGAGAGCTAGGGGTTTGCGATTGGTTGAGGTTTCTGAAGCATTTGGTAAGAGGGGTTATTTTGAGGCCGGAAATTAGGGTTTTGTGGCGATGGGCAGCGTGGATCGAGTCGATGATAGGACCTTTAGGGTTAATTTGACGGGCGATTCAGTTGTCAAGTTGAGAGCGAGTGTGAGGGAGAAGCTTAAGGAGTTCATGGGGGATTACACCGACGACACTCTTGTGGTACGGACTCTCTCATTTGGCTTTTGGTCCCTTTTGCGCGTTGTTCTGAAATTTACGATGATTGTTGGCCGGTTTTCAGTGGTTTGATTGCGTTTTGGGGAATTTGTCGGTTGATTTTATGTTTTATTTGGGTGATTGCATATGGTTTTCTTGGTTCTTACTTTATGTGGAGGAAAGATTTGGCTTTGGCTTTGGTTTTGGCTTCACCGTCTAAATTATGCTTATCCTGGAATTTAATGTATTTCGCTACCAATGTTGATGCCATGAATTGGGTTTAGTGAACGTTGGCTAGGAAATGTTGCCATTTGCTTTAAGGTAGGCGATCAGGTCCGACTTGGAGATGCTAAGCATTGCAGTACTCTTGAATTTTGGTTTCATCTAAATCATTACCCAGATTTTTGAGTTTATACTTTTAGTTGGTATGACCGTATGAGTATGTAGAGAATGTTTGCATTTCTCTTGCCCCTCAGGTCAGGTACATTTTATGATTGAAAAAAGTTAAGATACATCACACCTTTGGATTTTCTTGAGGAATTTATGCCCATTGTTCAAAATGTGAGCTGTAAGTGTGCCAAATGTTTTAGGCTTTTGTTTATGACTGCATTGCTTGGGCATTTTTGTACGGAATCTGTTAAGGTGGTTGTCTGCGTGGAGAGTTTTTAGAGGCACAAAGCTTCCAAGATAGTTTATTTTTGAGAGAGAGGAAGAACATACCATTGTGAAAATGTCTTCTTGCAATATTGCTCATGACCTATATGTGCAATGAATTTGAAACATCGTGGATTGGTGCGGGCCCTAGACTTATGAATAATATAGGCTTGAAGCCTAGGGTTTACTTGGGGTTTTGAGATTATGCTACTGCGGAGGTGGTATGTCCAACACACCATTTGGCTTGATGTAAGGGACATGCTTCATAAGGTTTCCATAATTGAAAATTGAAAACATAATGTTAGCAAGCTTCGGGTACTTGGACTTTCTTGGGAAACATTGAGATTGCTTTATGATCTTATTATGTTTTTATTTACAAGGATGATCCTCATCTGTACCTTATAAAAGTGACAGGATCACAAAAATTAAACAAAAAAATTAAATATCCTGAAGTAGTCTACCAATTTATTTATATTTTACACAACACAGTTGAGAAGTTTCATATAAGTACATGTATCTGTCTCTGTTTTTGGTTGTGGCTTTGCAGATGTATTTTTCGTGTAAATGAACCATTTTATATATGCAAATTTTGTGTTTCTTGAGATTTACAGTCTTGGTTTATCCATTGTGTTGTTTCTTGTGCCCATATTTCTTACGGTAAATGATATGAATGCAGTTTTTCAGGGTTAGCATATAAATGACTAACTGGCATATAACCGTATTGTATTTTTATTTGTTTTAGATGTGCATGCGTGGCACCTAAGGTCTGTAGTATAAGTTTAGTAGTTCAAGATGATGCGAGTATTCTGAGTCTTATCCAGTTCCATCTCAGAGCTGTAAGTATAAACTTCTAAAGTACATCTCTGATAATGAAGGGTTTTTAGGAACCAGGCCTAATTATTTAGGAATATACTTGTAAATTCCTCTTCCCTCACTCCGTCCTTCTCCTTGCCTTCACCCCCTTCTCTCTCTAGATATTTATGTGTATATAAGCATAAACTGCATACACCTATTCTCTAGTTCTCTTGTTCGGGTTCGTGGGCAGAAATCATAGAATAGGAATAAATGTAACTTGGCTTATTTAGGGGCGAGATATTTTCTCTCTCTCCCCAGCCTTTGCCCTCCTTTTAATATCATTTTTGCTCAATTTGGTGATGATGGGGAGATGCAAGGTGTATTTGGGTTGAATTTAGGGTATGGTTGATCAAACTTGGGTGTTGCTCTTGGTGTAAGTTTTATACTGGTTATGCTTTACGTTGGATTTAGATTTGGTTTTCTTCTTATCTTGTAAATTTGGGTGTAATTTAGGCCCTGGTTGTTAACAAATGAGTTGCTGGTTTTTAGGTTTCACTTTTTTAGGCTTTATGGTGGCTGTGTAATTGGTTAGACTTGGGTTAGCACATTTGATAGGGCCAGGTTTTATTTTATTTTTTTAATTTTTCCCCACATGGGCAGGCTGGTTGGGTCAAATTGCAATCCTTTTACGCCTTATGTTGGACCTATATTTGGTTAGAGTCGTATAGAAGACTCATGGCTGTTTAGTGTCTTGCAGAATAGGTGTCTACTGGGTTTGTGGTGACATATTTTGGGGGATTAGAAGTACTGAATTTGATAGTTACAGAATTTGTGGATTGTGGAAGGCAAAGTTATGCCAGGCATAGAGGGGTTATTTTTATACCTACATGGCAGTTTTTTTCTTTGATAAAGTGATTTTTATTTGTCGGGTACTTTTTATAATACAGAAACATGTGCCACTTCACTAGTTTGACCAGAGTTATTTCCACTTAGAGGACCTTAAGTTATGTCATGTGATGGGATTTTGTACATTTGAGATTTTTTCCTCACGTATAATGTGGAAGTAATGCCATTAGAAGAGAGTTATATGCATACTATTTAATGTTGAGTGATATGACAGAATTTCTTCTCATCTCATTTGTTTAATATACACATTTCAGTGGAGTTTAATTTGCATAAGATGAGAGTGAAACATTCCTTTTGTGGACGCTTTTTCTTCTTGATGACGCGTTGGCCTTCGTCTCCATTTTTGTTTGTGTTTCATTGTCTACTTGGGTTCATCCTCTTGGTTTTTTCTTTATGTAGAATTATCACAACTTATGCCATTAGAACTCTAGCTCAGTTTTCTAACTTATGTTGCAGGAATATGTAATTGTCCTTTTAAGGAATGGCAGGCGGAAAGAAGAAGCGAAGAATGAGTTGAACGTATTTTTGGGGGATGACAGTGATTCTTTTGTTTCTTGGTAATTGATTATTTTCCCTCTTTTATGAGCAATGTTAGTTCATAGATGATGGTTGTTTAGCAACCTAGCTTTGGTCACACGTATTGTGGACAAAAGTTTTAATTATTTGTTTAAAATTTTCCTCAATAGGTTGTGGGATCATCTGGCTTCAAATTTGGATTTGCATGTGCAATCTCAGGATTCTGATATGGAAGATGCGAGTAAAAGAAAAACTACATCAGGTGACCAAACAGGAAATACTGATTCTTATCATTTGGGATCTGAGCCAGAAAGAGAGAAGTCTAATAAATTAACTAGAAGCCGGCACAATAGGGAATGGAAAGGACTAGCGAGGGATGCAGCTGAACCCCCTCCTTTTCTCAGCTCTGAGATTGGAGATATTCATGTAGATGAAAAAAGTCATAGCAAAGTAATTCGTGCAAAATCTCCTTTGCGCCAACCTGCAGCTCAGAGGAAAAGGATTCGGCCTGATGAGAGACATAATACAGAGGTTTGAATTTGTAATTTTTTTTCTTTTATGATCCTGAAGCAGGGTCTTGTTGAATTTGACTCTGATAATTTGACCTTGGGTCTTGCAGCTGTTTTTGATTGGTGACATATGATTAATGTTATAATTATCTATTCTTCAGTTGTATTGACTGGTAAATTTTTTTTTGTCTATGTAATAAATATTTATAATTAATATATGCTGAAGTTTGGTATAAACTGCTATATTAAAGTATTCAAGGCTGATATTCAGTTCTGGAACTATCCTATCAGTAATTTGGAGTTTTCAATTTTGTACTAATAAAATCTGAAAATTTGTTCAAGTACTCTTGTAAACGATTGTCTTGTTTATTATTCTTCAATCAATCAGTGGTCCATTATTGATCACGTTTGGAACTGAAACAGCAATTTTCCTATCATTTTCTTTTTAGAGATTTTGATGTTGATATCATGGATTGGCTTTCATGTTGTTGCTTGGATGTCAATAAACTGTCTTTGAACGTATTAATGGTTTTCAATGTACATACAGCTGATCTTGTCCACTTTTGCTAATCCTCCATCTATCTGTTAAGATGATATTGTAGAGTAGAGTAACTATGCTATTTATGTGTATTTAAGGAAGATCATTTTAGACTGCTATAACTGGTACAACTAGCCTTCTTCTGACGTTTCGATGGGTTGAATCTTAAAACACTACTTGCTCTCAGGCTTGACAAGCCAAACAAAATGATAGACTATATTTATTCTGCTCACAACTTTTTTGGTATAGAAAGTATGCACTTTGATAACTGTTATCCAACTTTCTCATTCAATTTCTTGACAGAGGGAACCAGTTTCTCAAGTGAATATTGATGCCCCTCGACGGCTACTCCAATTTGCCATGCGGGATGCGCTGACAACCTCAAGGCAATCAAATTCAACAATGCAGCCCACATTGAAGCGACTCCGTTCTGTGGTTTCTACACCCACTGTTGACTCATCAGTGGCTGATCGTCCTCGACGAATTCAATCTGTTGCCAGGGTGCCAAATCCCATGTCAACTGTAATGAAAGCTGTTGCAGAAGCTGCTGAAAATGTAACAAGAGTTAAATCATCAGGTAGTGTGTTTGACCGACTTGGTCGTGGTATGGATGTCTCAGAGACGAGTGGCCCACTTGCATCATTTAGAGAAGCTGCTACTGAGGATGGTGTATATGAAGATGCCATCCAAATTCGTGAGCAAATGCGATCAACATCTCTTAAAAAAAGTGAACACAGTGGGCAGTTTGTAAGGAATGCTATCTTAGAAAGTGAAACTGGTTTGGCTTCTGATTGTATATCAGACAATGAAGGGTTTGATGATGTCAATGTTATGGGTCGTAGAGTTACTGATGTTTCTCAAACTGGGACATCTGGTGGAAGCAAGGGTGCTGACGATGTTATGCGGATATCAAGGAATAAAGATCAGGGTCAACCTACTGCACCTGCAAATTCTGCTCATAAGATTGTGAACATATCTGTGAATGTCAATACTTGGAAACCACCCCATTATCAGGAGCCAAAAGAAGTTGCTGACTCAGATGACTGGACTTCTGTACAGGATGGCGAGTTAGGGGTTCCCAAATCTGATTTGCGGGTCATGAAAGAGAATAGCAACCCTGTCGCAGTTAGTAATGGAAATGTAAGTTCGATCTCCCCCACCCCACACGGCAATTTTTTTTTCGTCCTCAGTTCCATTTTTTTTTGGTTGGTGCCCTGGAGACTGCCATTGAATATGTTTTCATGATAACAGGCGAACCCTGCTGCAGATTCTCAAAGGATGCTTTCCTCTTCTACTGGTGTGTTGAAACTCTGAAATAGTCAGCTCTCTTTTTGCTTCCATGCTAATATCGTAATTCCTGTTACTGTTCCCCCTTATTTAGGGGAGTAAGGACCCTGTTTCTAGCTCCTCAAACAATTGATTTCCTTATCGGTGCTGTATCATCCTGATTTGAGCACTACGCTACTCTACATCTTATTAATTTTTGTTCTTGGAATATCCTGTAGGTGCATATGCTGCTGGACGTCCTTTGGAGGATGCAGAATCTCGAACCATCTTTGTTAACAATGTAATAGCTCCTCTTCTTGTTCAAGGTTTAACATATTGTCTTGGTTCTGTGCATTGTCAGTTTAGATTATATTTTGTTATGAATGCACAGGTCCATTTTGCTGCTACAAAAGATAGTCTTTCTCGACATTTCAACAAGTTTGGGGAAGTGCTAAAAGTGGTGATACTTACTGATGCAGCAACTGGGCAACCTAAAGGGTAAGATGTGTCGTCTCATCCAAATCCTTCCTTTTTCTTTGAGGATGATACATATTCAGTTGTTATTTTTGCTAAATAACTTTACTTGAGCAGGTCGGCTTATGTAGAGTTCACACGGAAGGAGGCGGCAGACAATGCATTATCTCTGGATGGCACCTCCTTCATGTCTCGGATCCTTAAGGTAATGATTATCTCTGATGGTTTTTGCTATTGTGAGCTCTTTGGGAATATACATCATATTTAGCTTGCTTCTTAACATATGATCTTGTAAGATAAATTGTTCATAGCAGGGAATATGTGTGTTGATTGCATTTTGGGCTGTGACCGAAAATGAACATGGAATGGTTTTATTTTTTAGGGTTTAAAAGGTAGTTACTATGCAACAAAATATTGACCCTCGTTATCATCCTATTGCAGGTTGTGAAGAGGGGCGCTGCACATCAAGAAGCAGCTCCTGTCATCACATGGCCACGGATTGCCCGGGGATCGCCGTTTGCCACTGCGAGGTTTGCTAGGTCGCCCTTCCCAAGAGGCATGTCTGGTGCATATAGGCCTCGTCCCCTAATCAAACCTGGTGCCAGGAGCATGCAGTGGAAGCGGGATACTCAAGCCACTCCAGGTGAGAGTGGTGCTCCAGTCACTGGCAATCCTGTTCCTTCACCGACAGCTCGTAGTCTAACCTACGTGCGAACAGAACCTAAGCCAGAGGGCAACTAGTCCAAAAATGTTACCTTCTGCAATATGCCCGACTTGAAATTGCACCACATGAAATGCTAGGGATTGTTGGAAATCCAATAAATTGGAGTATATTCTTTTTGTAAAGGGTGGAGAACATTGTTACATGGAGGCTGAAGTGGAGGGGAAGGTTTCCCTACTCGCAAATTTTTGGTTTATTCTTTTGATTTGGAGATAAAAGAGGGGTTTGGTTGTTATGGCATATGGGATAAAGCGAGGGAAAGTATTTTGGATCGAGTCCTTAGGTGTTTCTTCCGGAGATAATATTGTTCGCGATAAAATTTGTGAATAGGGCGGATGGATAAATGGTTTCTTTTTTGAAGGATAATCTGTTAATTTTGCTTTGTAATATTTATACATTGATAAACCAAAAAAAAAGGTAAAAAGGATTAAAAGAGAGATTAGTTGCCTCGTATGTCAGCAAAGCTTCTTGGTACTTGTTTTTCTTTTTTGGTTTAGAGAAATTGCAAATTCAATTTAGTAATGTCTCTCATGATAAGTATGCAGCGTTTTTCAGTAATGAAGATGCCAAATATTCTTGAATGAATCACTGCCAAATAAGAAAATTAGAATAATATATCAAAAAAGAAGATAATAGGGTTAGTTATTCCAATTGTTGCCTTGCCACCGTATATTTTGCCCGTTACAATTGCACAAACAAACCACTCGCATAAGCTTGCTGCATCCAAAACATAATTTCCTAAGACATTTCTAAATGACCTTCACAAGGGAAATGGTCTCCAAACATAAGATTTTGCTTATATCGTCGTAAAATGAATCTAGACCATTGATTAAGTTGATTATGATCTAAATGTAACAACATTCATGTAGCAGGAACTGCTGGTATTTTCAGATGGGTGAACTGATAATGCCATTGGCTTGATTTATAGGTTGGTTTGGTAGATAAAGATGGGATTATTAGATTCGTTTTCACTTCCCGAAAAATATAAGGATACAAAAATCCAATAACATAACAATCATTTATCAAAATTCATGAAAACAATCTCATGAACAAGAATTAAAACTCATCTTGTAAGCACAGCAAACAAGACTCCAACTGACAAACCAGCTACACACAAGAAAGAAACCCCGCGAACCCGAACAAAGAAGACATTCAAATTCTTAGCAACCTGAAGAGTGAGTGTCAAAATCTGCAACCTACCTTGCTCCTCCATTTTCTTAAAGAAGTAGATCGGCTTCAAACTCTGCCTCAACATGAATGCCAATGAGATCGGCAACCCAAATGCCAAAATGCTCTGAATTGAGACCTCTGGAATTGGCGTGGACTTGGTTATGTATGAAATCCAAGCTCCAACACCAAGCTGGACCAACCCCAGAAGAGCAAATGCCCTGCTCAGATTATACATGTTCTTTGCCATCCCTTCAAGAACTTCTCTGGTCTCATTGGCCAAGGACGATAGGTCTCGCTCCACGGTCGGTCCTTCAATTTCTTGGTGCTTGAAATCAGGGTTTTGACTAGGGTATTCACTTGGGTTTTGGGGCTTTTCAGATTCTGATGGTGGTGAACTAGAGGTTGAAAGAAATCTGGGTCTTTGATCTGATAACCATAAATTGGTACTGAAACTTGAACATGACTGTGTAAAACCAAAATTGGGTTTTTTGGGGGGTTGATCAAAAACCCTTTGGTGCATAAATTCAGGGTTTTGAGTACTGGATTTTCTAGTTGGTACCCAATTGAGATTGGGGTTTATGGGTTTTGGATTTGGTGCTGTTTTGTAGTCTTTGACAACGGTGATGGGGTTTGAGTGTGATTGTGAGAAAGTGGAATTGGAGGAGTGGGTGAAGGGTTTAGGCGTAGAGTCTTGGAGATTCTGGGTGATGAGGTAGGCGGAGGATACAGACCATGATGAATAAGGATGAGAGAGCCTTGCAAGCTTGGAGCTGAATCTGCGTGAGATCATGGCGGCCATTTTTGGTGAAACAAAAATTCAGAGAGACGCAGAGACAGAAACAGAGGGTTGGGAGAGTGAGAGCCGTGAGGTAAAATTTTAGGCTTTTCAGCAGAATGACCCCAATTTAGACACCCGGCCCAAAATTATTTCAAGCGGGCCATTGTGCAGACCCAAATTGGAATATTTGATTGGGGAGGGAGTTTAATAAATAAATAAATAAGGATTATTGGATTCGATTTTTCTATATGTAGTTTCTACTTGCTTGTTACTGCGTTATTTCAAAATAAAATAAAATAAAATAACTGGTTTATGTGTTAGGATATTGATTGATGCCATATCTCAAAAGTGGACAATCTTAATTATGTTGTCTATTGTCGTTCATTCATATTATAACACGTGAATAAATTCTCATATTATAACATGTGAATAAACAAATTCTAATGTTATATCAAGTGAAAAAGTTATACTATGTAATAGTATCTCAGTAATTCCTCGTTTTTTAAAATTATTAGGCATTATATGATAACCACTGTGTGAAAGTGTGACCGTAATAAAAATGGACCTAAAATAATTAGGGTGGGTCGAACCAAATCAAACAAAGATTCATGTCATTACACACTAATAAGATTTTGACTTGATTTGGATCAACAATATGGTGCCAAATGTCCTATTAAGGAAGTTTAGGAAATCTCATCCATTAGGTAAACTTTCTCAAATCATTCCATAGAATTCAGAATAGATAAAGTGGCTCAAATTGAGGACTAAGATATAGTAAGAAATCCTTAGCTTCCCAACGAAATGAGGTAAGAGATCAATGCGATTATGCGACAATATATTTGGTATTAAGGATGGTATTTGGACCTAAATTGAAAATACGATCTCAGCCAAGATTTCTGCAATACAACTCGCACTTGCATTTGTGAGATAAAAAGTACCTGGAACACATTCTCACTATAGGTAGCTAACAATATCAATTGAAAGCTTGGAAAATGGAGATCATGCACCAAAAATAAATAATAAAAAAGAACAAGAAAGAAAAAGAGAAAAACCCAGAACCAGAAGCTCTTTTAATTTATAGTAAATTTGGCTTACACCCTTTAAATTTAATTTGCCATACCTAAAACCCTTCACTTTTTGTTCCTATAAATAATACCCAATTTGTATAAGTAAAAACCCATGACTAGGATCCAACTCAGCAAGTTACCTAATTAAGCATAAAATCTGATTTATTGTACTTTTCAGATTCCAAAAATACCCCTAACTAAGCCATTATTGCATTTTGTATATTAATGTAGGAATCAATATGGAAACAGTTTTTAATTGGATTGTATATAATGACAGATGTTGAATTTGGAAA